CCTACATAAACTTACGGAAAATTATTGACCTCATAGAAGACTCCAGAAATAAAGAAACCTCTTCTTGCAAAATGCCAAGATACCTATCTGAACACAAAGTAGCCTGCCTTCACATAGGTTTGTCTGGAACACCTCCCAGGTATGTTGCGTTAATTATAGGAAACAATAGCTGTGCAGGTTAATAAGTAAACATCTAAACCATCACAGTGTCAACAGTGATGGTCTATATAAAGCTAGCTGTGAATATAGTGATAAAGAAAGTATATTGAATATCAGGCGGTACTGACCAAAGCCAGATGAAAATTTGATGCTATTGGCTCTGTAAGCAGTGGAAAAAGCCTGATGGACTTCAGTGAGGTTGAACCAAGCCCCCAAAGATAATTATTAGAATGTTAAACTTGATGGAAAATGGAATTGTTTCTCTGACAAAAAGGCCCTAAATCATTTTAACCTCACCAGTTTCACTGGGGAATTCTCTTTCAAGAATGGATAGCACACCATAGCCTGAAAACCAAGAGTGAATCCTTGTTTCCAGAGAAATTATCTCAAATGTGTTCAGATTACAAGCATGTGGGATGAAAACACAGCTAGTATCCAAAATTATATAGTCTGGAAATTCTACCTCGTTTTAGAAGCCAAAACACTGCAAAGTCTGAAAACAAAACAACCTGCAGCAGTCAATTGCAGTGTTTTTTTTTTTTTTTTTTTCTATGGAACATGACAACCATTAAATTTCCTCACAGGAAAATAAAATTCTAGTAGAAATTCTATCATTGTTACAAAATTCTTTACCGCATCTTTACAGACAGACATTGGTAGATGGGTTACTAGGAACTAGTAAGTTTAATTTTAAGGCTGGTCTAAAGAATTACTGATATAAGAAGTTTCTTGCCATGCAGTTTTGCTTAATGTACGAGTTCCTTCTCCAAACTTGCATCCTCCATGCAGTATTGACTAACATGATCTTCAGGGTTTTTTCCTTTCCTGTGGTGGGAATGAGTTGGTTGGCATATAGAATGATATGTTAATTGCTTGTTATTTAACAATATCCTATAAATCTTTCTAAAGGTAATCAGGGTATTCATAAAGTTGTTATTATTTCATAGCATTTAATATGAGGGTAGGCTTTACATTAAGGTATGTAAAAGCTAAATATTTGTATTTTCAAATACCTCTCAGCAGCATTATATAAATTGTTTGCAAGGAAGTGCATCTGTGTGCATATTTATGCTTATGGCCTTTCTCAAGTGGATTTTTGAATATGCAATTGGATTTTGTAATCTGGTAGCTTGTTATTTTGGCTTCTGAACATATTTTTGCAAGGTGGAAAGGCAATGAGATGGTTATATGAGTCGTTTAACTTGTGCAAAGTATTTATCAGCAAGGCAGATTGACAGTGTCAGACAGTAGCAAGGCTACTTGCTCTTTGTAGCTGTCAGAGCATAAGCTCTCCAACCAACGATGAGGCAGAAGACCTAGTGTACTGGGCTATGGATGTCCTGAAGAATGATCAGCAGTTTGTTACCTGTTCCTTGCATGTTCTTGATGTTCAGTTCTACAATCACAACTTCTTAACGTGTTTAGACTTCATAAGCTCACAAGGTCCCAGTAAAGGGGACCACTGCGACACATGTGAAAACTCAGACTCCATCACAGAGGGCTCCTCCCTGCAGAAAGGACGCTGAGGGAGAAGGAATGAACTGATTTGGGTAACAAAGAGGAAAGCAACATCAACACCCAAATCAGCAGTATAGGGTAAGAATAAGCGAGGGAAAGCCTTAATGACAAAGACAAGAGTCTTATTTTCACATAAAGGTGAACCCAGCAAACAAAACCGAAGAGATTGTTTTAGCAGCGACACTTCGTTTTGGACTAAGTGAAGCCCAGACGCAGTAGTAAGTTTGAAGGCTTGGCAGGGGATATTTAGCTGAATGTGCAAGGTAGAAAGGCTGACTTTTACAGAAGCTGTGTATTAATTACACTGTGAAAACAAGAAGGGTATGGATTACAACCTGTGTGACTATAAGGAAATGAAGGGCAGTGTGTACAAAGAGAGAGGATAATAAAGGGGATGTCATACATTTCTGAGCATAAAGTGTATTTGCTTTAAGCAGGCTATCTAAAATCTGAATTAAAAGAGTTTGATAATTTCCCAGATTTCTTTTATTTCAGTGAGCACCAAAAATATAAATGCAACATAAGTGAGACAAGGGTCACAGCAAGGAGCCTTTCTGGGCTTTGCTGCCTTCAGAAAATCACAAACTACTTCAGTGCGTGGCAGCGAGGGCATCACCTCTTGTTGGGCTATAGTAAAATCCTGACTGGGGTACACGGGCTAAGCTGTGGTTCAGCTAGTGTTGGACCTCTGTCTTTTGCAGCAGGAGCTTGGATTCTTCAGCCTCTGGGATCAGTGTATGGGACTCTTGCTGGAGTGAGCATCATCAGCTCTGTGCCTTGTGATTCTCTTGTTCTCAACATCTATATTAAAGCAGCAGTGGGCACAAAATGGCCAGCAATTCTCTTGGGAAAGGATACTCTTCCCTTCTCCTCACATAAAGTAGTCTTATGGCTCCTTCAGGTAACATTCTGTACCCTTATAGTGGCTACAAAAATAGATACAATGCTACTAGAATTGATGAGGTCAAGGACCAAAACAAGGTGGAGGCTGCAGACAAGATGCCAAAGAGTCTTTTAACCCCATCAAGAAAGCGCAGGGAGTCCTCACGGGGGGTTGAATATTGTGGAGATGGCTGCACTGTACTTTGTGTTGCACAAGACCTTGGTAAGACGTATTTCAGCCATCAGCTGGGAGGATTTTGCAAATCCATGCCACTGAGGTGCAGTGTATCTCCTCCAAGCAAGCGAAAATTAGAGTAGGAATATGTCAGCGGTTCTGAACATGCAATGAAACGTGCAGCTGGTCACTCCCCTTGTAGGCAGGGGTCTCACAAATACCACTGACGGAACCTTTGGTTGAACTTGGGATTGTTTTATCCTATGTCAGTCACTCCTTGTCCACCCTAATGAAGTTATTCTCTCTTAATAAACTGTCTGGGTCAGCAGATACAGGCAAAATTTAATGCAATTCATCCCCAGCTGCCAAAACTGATCAGAGGAAATGGGAAGATGAGAGTCAAAGAGCTCTGTGGTCTCCCCAGTCAGACTGTTAGCAACTTAACTTTCTCCTTGGCAGTGAAAAGGGTGTAATTTTTGAGAGAAAGCTGGCTTACTGCAATGCAGAAAATGTGTATGTTTTCTGTGTATAAGGACCACAATCTGCAGGAAACTCTAAAAAAGCTTTACAGAAGGTATATTGTTCCTGACAACATTGCCATCTTTGCAGTATTCACAGGTAGTTTTCTTGCAATATCAGAGTACAAAGAGAAAAACAAGCCCTTGAGAAATGTTTCTTACTCCAGGTAGGTAGTGGTTGGCTTTCTCTTTGATCACCGTAAAGGTTCCAGGTATTCACTGTCCTATGTTTTTGTTTCTGTTAATTTTTCTTGGCAATAGGTTCCAGGAATTCATTGCACGTGATCTATACATTTCCTTGTGTGGTCTCTGACACCAGAGTGCTGACCAAGAAGTAAGAACAGACCCCGCGGAGCAGACTCCTGATGACACGCGATTTCTCAACTAATATCAATGTGCTCCCTTTCTGTGCTTCCTTCCCAGGATCCAGAAGTAAGTAATCCCATACAGGCCAGTGGGTTGAAATACTCGTTTTCTGATGTTAGCTTAGTACCTAATACAGAAACTACTGCTAGCAAGTGAGGAAGATAAATAAGCTCTTTGCTATTTCGTGCAGAAATTTTTTTTGCTAGGTTGTATGCTTATATCAAAGACAAACATAGGTACATTGAAAAGGAGAACTTGAATGCAAAAGTCATCAGAAAACCCGAATGTTAAACAGCAGAAGATAAAAAAAGAGGGTGGGGGTCTTATTATGGAATCCAGTCTGGGAATTCAAAGTAACTGGGTGAGGAAACTAAAACCAGCACTGTTTGGAAAGACAGTCAGTCTTGGTGACCCTCCTGAAAAAAAAAAAAAGAAAAAAAAAAGATATTTTTAAAAATCTGTTTCTCTGTTTTCAAACAAAATTTAATTTTTTAAAGTTCAAAACATAGATTAGTTCTGAAATTCTGAAATTTCTTCCTTCTGCTTTGAGCCACATTAGACCTCTTTGCAATCTCTGTATTGGAGCTGTAAACGTATTTCAGAGTGGGCTGTAGTACCATTAGATACAGAATTTTTTATGTAACACTTAGTCGCAGTTACTTATCGAGAGCCCAGAGCTGAATCAGACTGAAGGATGCTTGCACTCAGTACGACTATGGTATAAAATAGCACTTTGCTACAGCAATGAGGAAAAGAGTCAATCTTTCCTTGTCCCCATTATAAAATGTAAATGCAATCTTGAGTGCACTGGTGTCAGAAAATTTC